CTCTTCCGAGTCAGGGTGCATTACCCTTCTGGCATGGGTATGTGGGAATGTGCATGAAGCGTTGCTGGTCTGGAAGGCTCACCTGAGCTGGATCCGTCAGTACGTAAGCGCCATTAATTTGATTGATCACCCATGCTATTCAATTCAGGCTCCAAATCTACTGACAATGAGTCAGTCTTACCCTAAGTCACTGGGTTGATCTTTGTGGTATGGCCATCCTTCACTCTTAGGACTGCCGGTATAGCAGCTCCAACCCACACAACCCAGTAACAAAGAGCTCTTTCCAGGCACGACAGAGAGTACGTCTCTTAGAAGCCAAAGGAAGGCCAGACATGTCTTTGGGTATCCCTACATATTTTATAATGCTGGACAAATATCCCTTTTCAAGGTGCAGAGTTTTCGAGGGAATTCATTCATTCATTCATTCATTCATTCATCTGTATTGAATATCAGCTATCTGCCACGACTTGTATTAGGATCTGTATGTATAGCCATCTCATTAAATTTACAAACTAACTTAGAAATAGTGTTCCCCCTTGGGACCAGCAGTTGACATCATTGGCTGTCGCTGGACTCCCATGTGAAGTTGACTACGGTTTGAGTCCCGGACCTGGTTGCTTAAACTCACGCCAGGTGTGTGCGTATGCGTGCCCAAGATCCTGGTAGAAAGGTTTGTGGCATGGCCATCCTCCCTGGGGGGGGTGATTTCTCACTTTCTGTCTTTCTGTCTCTCTGGGTTTGCAGCATGGCCATCCCCCCTGGGGGTTAATTTCTTGCTTTCTGTCTCTCTGTCTTTCTCTCCCTCTCTGGCAAGCGCACATGGCCTATAGCGAAAACCTCTCCAAAAAAAAAAGAAATGTTCCTGCGTTTTGCATATGAAGAAACAGACTTAGAAATTGAGCAACTTTTCTGAGCAGTGAAGCTAGGGTTCATCTCAGTTTCTCTACTCAGACTCTCCATCAGACATGACCCACCAGAATTGTTCCATTATACACCTCGGGTGGCCCATCCCCATTGCATTCTCTGTGAAGGGCTTTTCTTGGGATTGTGCAGTGCAGCACCTTGTATCCCAGCCACCCTACAGAATACCTACCATCTGAATACAAAACAGTGTGCTTGCTGCATAAACGTACCTTCCAAGCAGGTTTCCTGGCCTTCTCCACTGCGTATGAATTCATTAACTGTCACACCACATTGCCTCCCAGAATCGTCCTTAAATGGCACAGCCATGGTGGCATGAAGGAGGCCTGGGTTCAGTTCCTGGCTGAACATGCTGGGGATAGTCGTGCTCCCCGGTTGTCCTAGCCCTAAAGAAGCCTGGGGCAGGAGGAGTGTGACGCAGTGAAACCCTGTCGGAAATACTCATCTCTGTCTCTTATAAAAGGAAAAAAAGTCCTTGAATACACTCCTCAGGTGACCTGGTGTATTAATGATCACTCTGTTCTGAAACATCAAGCAGTGGTTGCCTCACCTCTTCTCCGGGGTTTCTGAATATCACCCAAACTCTTCCTACTCTGTTTTTCTTCTCAGGCTGCTGTACAGGACAGATTGAATGAGCAAGAAGGTGTACCGAGTGTTTTCAACCCACCTCCCTCCCGGCCTTTGCAGGTTAACACAGCTGACCACAGGATCTACAGCTATGTTGTGTCGAGGCCACAACCACGGGCAAGTTATTTTGTAGCTGGAACTGTCCTCCTCTTTTATTTTATAAATCCATTCACCTGGCTTTTTTGATTCCTGTGTGATAGGAATGAAAGAAATATTCAGAATGTAAGCCTGTTAGCTGAATCTGGCCTGTAGGTATATTTAGTGAGATATACCATTTTACCACGATTCTTTCATGAATTGATACAAAAACTACTCATTTTTCTGTTCTTTGCCAATTATTTGGAGTGTTTTCTGTGCCTCATTTGATTACCTGAGTAGGTTTATGTATGTGTCTAAGAATGTTTGCTACATGTTTAATAGATCTCACACTTTAAGTTAGAATCTGTTTACTGAGTTCTTTGTTGCTCTTGTTTATTTACTTTTAAGCTCTTCCCAGGAAGTACTTGGAATCTATGTGAGCACTTTGGTCACATCTTTGAAAGTAATTTTGAAAGTCTAGTAGCGAAGTGGTAGTCCA